GGAAACGTCAATCCCCAATCGCCCATTCGTCGCCCATTCGTCGCCGACCGCGGCCTGGGAGCGCAACGCCTCCCGGGAGCGTGGGCTTCGCAATCGGGGACAGGAAAATTCAAACATAGTCAAAAAATAGGGGAACGATTTTTCTTTTATTTTTGACAAGCGTGTAAATATTTTCCTGACTATTTTTACCTGCCCGACCTACTCGTAGGTCTGGGCGATAGAGATCGTGATCGGCCCTCTCCCTCCCTCCCCTGGTGCCACGTCACGCTATTTTGCTGCCCACGTTTGCAAATATATACGAAGGATTCTTCGAGCTTTCTGAAGGATCCTATGGGGTTCCTGGGAATTGGTCGTCGTCGCTGCTGCCCACGCCGGGGAGGCCGAAAACGAGGGGGTGCCAGGGGCGGAGGAAGGACCCCGATATCCGGGGGGAGGAGCAGGGGGGAGAGAGAAAAGGACACGATGGAGGAGCGAGGAGGGGAAGGGAGGAAAAAGGAGGATGAGGAGGAGAAGGGGGAGGATGATGATGATGATGATGATGATGATAAGGAGGAGGAGGAGGAGGAGGAGGAGGAGGAGGAGGAGGAGGGGGAGGAGGAGGAGGAGGAGGAGGAGGAGGAGGAGGAGCAAGAGGAGGAGGAGGGAGGAGAAGGAGAAGGAAGAGGAGGAGGAGGAGGAGGAGGAGGAGGAGGAGGAGGAGGAGGAGGAGGAGGGGAGGAGAGAAGGAGGAGGGAGGAGGAGGAGGAGGAGGAGGAGGAGGAGGAGGAGGAGGAGGAGGAGGAGGAGGAGGAGGAGGAGGAGGAGGAGGAGTGTGTGTGTGTGTGTGTCTCCTCCGCTGGAACAGGTGCCGCCACCAACCCCATCACCGAGTCGATCCACAACAAAATCAGGACAGGCCCGCAGGCCCAGGGGCGCAGCTCTGCCCCAACCCGGGAACCCCGACGTGGCCAAACCCCGGCAGAGGCCAGCGGCTCTGCAGGAGGCCCAACAGTTGCAGGCCAGGGGGGTGGCGCTGGCAACCCTGCAACTCTTGCCCCCCCGCCCTACTGAAATTGACTGCTCACCCACACCGTCGCCCCCGCGCGCAGTCTCTGAGGTCGATTTCGGTGACGCGGAGACCGAGGACCAGGACCTACAAGCAAGCTCCAGCAGCGAGCCTCACCCTGACCATCACGCCCAGGCAGCGACCAACAGCCCCGACTCCGAGCAAGCCCATAGCCAACCTCCGAGCTGCCACAGCACACTCAGGCTACGGAGGCCGAAACCGCTGCGGAGTTGGATGCTAGCGCGCCCAGCCGCAAAGATGACAGCACCGAGCTAGTTGTAGAAAGAGGCATGAGACGAACCCGACGAAGGCCGAGCACGCGAGACACCCAGGACGTCAGAGCAAGGGCATGGTCGTCCTCAGCAGCAGGCCGAGACGATACACGCCAACCCAGGGGCCGACTATCGAGGGGGAGGAAGCTCCTCTCTGCTGCGCGCCCGGGCATTGCCAACCCAGAAGCGCCCCAGCGGCATAGGACCCCCGCAGCTCGACCCTGGATATGCTCGCCACCACGACCCCCACGACGCGCTCTACATGAAGCCTCGTCTGCTGACCAATTGGCATCGCGCGTGGAACTGCAGGACCAACCTCCAGGAGACGTGGCCGGAGATTGTCAATAGGCTGAAGAGGGGCTGAGGCGCCACGTTCGTGGAAGGCTGGAACGCTCTCTGCGACGCCCAGGACCACCGACCCGGAAGGGGCGCCTGCGACCCACACGGCCACGACGCTTTCTGCCGGGACCTGCTGCTCCAGATGCACGACGGAGAGCTCTACGTCCGCAGTGTCTGCAGAGCTTGAGGTCTCAACGTGGATTGGATTGCTGTCTGGGAAGGGCAGTTGCGGCGCAACGAGCTGCAGCGTAACAAGGGCAAGGGCAACGGCAAAGGGAAAGGTCACGACGCGGTCGGGAAAGGAAAGCAGCGTGCGGACCCCACCTGGCCCAACAACGACCAATCCAGGCAGCGCCCTCCCAACACTGCAGGCCTACCATTCCTCTGAGACCCCACGCCTGGACCACACCAGCGCGAGCCGCTCCAGCAGGCAGTGGCGCCAGGACCCTGCCGTGCCCTGTGCCGTGCCGCAGACACGGGTCTCCCCTTGCGCCGCTCACACCCAGCCCGCGGTGCACTTCACCACGAGAGGCGCCTGGTGTCTCAGGACCACCACCCCATCGACTCCATCGACCTCTGAGCCACTAGGCGGACCCAGCTGTCACACGCCAACCACCCCAGCGGCGTGTGGCACCGCTCCGCGCTCTGAGCCCCCCGCCTCTGTTTCCCCTCCCCTTGTGCCTCGGCCGCGTGCTGCCCGCCCCGGCAGCGTGCGGCCCAGCGGCCTCGGCCGACTCGGTACAACAGTCCTTGCGCCGATTAGGTGCCCTTGACTTGGTCCACACTTTCCTCCCTGGCAGTGGGGGCCCCTCGGCTCCGGCCACAGTTCTGACAGGCCAGGCGACGTGGCCGCGCGCTGTCCACCCTGGCAGCGAGCGGCCGTCCCAGCCTCTACCGGCTCTCACTTCCACTGCACCGACGAGGTGCCCCCAGTCTTGGCCTGCACCCCGGCAGCGCATAGCCCTGCGTCTTCGGCCACAGTTTTGATATTGGCACGCCCTTTCTCTGCCGTCAACTGGCAGCCCAGGGTGTACCGCGGCAGCCTTGCCTACCTTGGGGGCAGCGCAGGCGTCCGCAGCAGCACGGTGCACGGGCAAGCTGCCCTCCGTCCGCTGGCGCCAGCGCCGGCGCTGCTGCCCCGCCTGCGGGGATCTCTCCACAGGCGGGGCGCTCCTCCTCCCCGCCCGCTCCCCCGCCTTCCCTCCGTTCGCTTTCCCTTCCTCCCTCGCGCGCCGCCATGGTGCTCGCAGGGCTGCCGCCGCTGGCAGCCTCCCCAAGCTGTCGGGAACCTGCGCCAAGTCTTGCCGCCTGATCCCCTCCGCGGGCCCAGCATTTTGCTGGATGCAGTCCCACCTGGACCGCACATATAGTTGCCGCGCCTTGTCAGCGCCACCCGGCGGCCTGCGGCCCTCGCCCGTTGTCTTAACACCTTGTGTGCTACTTCGACGGCTTCACTGCTCTGCCTACTTGCAGTACCCGCAGTGGGCCCTGCCTGCCTGCGCCCGTGGGTGCTCCGGCGCCGCGGCCCGGCAGCTGCCATGGTCCCCGCCGGCGGGACTGACCGCGCTAGCATACTCAGGTGCAAATCCGTCCGCCCCTGAGTGGCCTCTTCTCCCTTCCCCCTCCGCGGCCGCCTTGCCTTCCCGTTTTCTCCTCTTGCACGCTGGCCAATTCGCTTTTCGGCGCCCCCGTCTAGCTCTTTCGCTGGTGCAGCCAACTCTGCGTCGCCGCCGACGAAGGAAGTGTGTGTGTGGGTGTGTCTCCACGCCCGCCTGGCCCTCCCCAGTCCCTTGTGCCGGCTGGCCTTGACCGCTCTTCGGGACAGCCTTCCCTTTTGCCTGGTTTTCAAGCCGGCCCGCGGTCCTCTTACCGGCGTCGCCGGTGTACACCCCTTGCTCGCTGCTCCGCCCTCCCGCGGCCCTGGGGTGCCCGGGCCACCCGCCCTCTGGCGCCTCGCAGGTCATGTATTTCGGCGCTTCTTCTCGCCTCGCCTGCTGGGCCTTTCCCAGCTACCCCCTGGCCCCTCTCCTGAGGTTGTGTTTTCCGCTGCTCAGTCGTGTGGAAGGTCAGCTGATCTCGGCGCTCGGCAGCTTCGCTGTGCTGCCCAACCCAAGCACCGCCTGGGCCATTTCCCCCCGCCCCGCGCGGCTGCCTCTGGCTGCTGCCCCCGGCTGCCCCGCGGCTGCCGCCCCTGTGTCCCGCCCGCCGCGGCCTGGCCCTGCTCTGAGCGGGCCCGGCTTCCGTCTCCCTCCTGCCCGCGCCGGGCCTGCCTTCCCCCCCGTCCAAACGTGCATCGCGGCTTAGTTCGCAATTTTATGCCCTACGTCTGCCCCATCCGCCAGCGCAGTTATTCTGCCTAGCCGCCGACGTAAAAAGTGTGTATGCGTTTTTTTTTTGTTGTGTGTGTGTGTGCGTGTGTGTGTGCGTGTGTGCGTGTGTGTGTGTGTGTGTGTGTGTGTGTGTGCGTGTGTGTGCGTGTGTGCGTGTGTGTGTGTGTGTGTGTGTGTGTGTGCGTGCGTGCGTGCGTGCGTGCGTGCGTGCGTGCGTGCGTGCGTGCGTGTGTGGTGTGTGTGTGTGTGTGTGTGTGTGTGTGTGTGTGTGTGTGTGTGTGTGTGTGTGTGTGTGTGTGTGTGTGTGTGTGTGTGCGTGCGTGTGTTAGTGTTAGTGTTAGTGTTAGTGTTAGTGTTAGTGTTAGTGTTAGTGTTAGTGTTAGTGTTAGTGTTAGTGTTAGTGTTAGTGATAGTGTTAGTGTTAGTGTTAACGTTACTGTTCGTGTTCGTGTTCGTGTTTGTGTGTTGTGTTTGTGTTTGTGTGTGCGCGTGTGTGTGTGCATGTGTGTGTGTGCGCGCGTATGGTTTGCACATTTCCGTTTGGGGGGCATTCGGAGGAACCGTATGGCCGTGGAATCTTCCGGAGGTCTTTAGAGGCCCCCCGCAAGCTGGCGGCGACGAGTCTCTTGGTTGCCCCCGTTCACCTCGCAAGCACGTCGCGCTGCTCTCATGCGTGAGACGTCTTGTGGTCAATATTGAGTTCCCTGGCGCGCCGTCGCGCTTGCAGGCCTTGGCTCTGCACGCAGGGGCGGTGCTCACGGCGGCCCCGCGGCGTGACGTGATCGGGGGTGGAGCTCCCCCCGCGATCACACCAGTTATCGCGAGCCACTCCATTCCCCCCAGCCCTCAATCTCAACCCTTCGAGCCATCCGCGGCAGGTGTGCCCCCGCGGTGGCCACGGCGCCCGCCGCTGCGGCCGCCGCGGCGTGCACCCGCCGCGCGGAAAGTGCGGAAGGCGGAGAGTGAGGGCCGTCGTCGGCTGGCCTGGCCGGGATCGGCGCCGTGCCCCGCCAGGAGGCGATGATCCGCGGCACCGAGGGCGAGGACCCCGCCGGCGTGGCGTCCGCCGCCGCGGTGCGGGAGCGAAGAGTCCAGATCTCTGACGATGGTGGTCCTCGTGAAGGAGTCGTGGCGGGAGGTTTTGGGCCAGCTTCGGCCTCCCAGGACCCTCACTGGGCCTTTAGGGGTCGCCAGAAAAGGACTCGGGAGGAGAAGCCAGCTCGACGAGCGAAAGGGTCGAGACTTCTGGGGACCCGTATAGAAAAATCAAGGCACCACGTGTCTGGGGATCACCGACGGAGTGTTCGTTCCAATCGGAGCGTTTTTCGTTGATTTCGGCTTCCGGAGCTCCCTTTTTCGGGACTGGGACCGCCAAACATGGGTGCGGGACGCAAAAGTGGCCCTTGAGAAGGGGTCGGGAGCTCCAGGGGCTGCGCATTGAACAAATCACAGCGTTCTGGGTCCCCGAGGGAGCACCTGGAGGCAGCGGAGGCGAGGGGAGGGGAATGGGACCACCCGAGGGTGTCCGCTGCCGGTTCGGCTGCGTCGCAGTCGGCCGCGTTCTGTCGGTTCGGTTGCTGCTTGCAGCCTGTCGGTTCGGGTCGTTTTCCGTTGACGGTTCGGTCACTTTTAGGTTATGTTGTCGCCGTGGGCTATTTTGGACCCAACCTCCAAGGGATTGTTTTTTTGAATCCCAGCGTTTTCCCCAATTCCAGCCTTCAGGGACAGCTTTTGGGCCCCAGCGCCATGAACAGTCACGGATCCGTGATGGAAAGCTGCCCCATGGGACGGGGTCTGGGGTTGGGAGCCTCTGGGGCCGCGGGTTGAACAAACCACATCGTCGTCGGATGTCTGGGCATAGAGAACAGGAGTGGCAGGGGGTTGGCCCTTTAGACAGGCACTTCGCCGAGGGCTTCCTAGGGACGTGGCCATCACCTGGCAGAAACGGCAGGCTAGTTTTGTTTCATTGACTGAGGTCGTCGGCGAAGTCCGAACCCTACCCTCGCCGATCAACGATTCGAGCAACTCGATGGGCGGCTGGGGTAGGGTTCAGAATTCGTCGAACACGTGGCGAAATTCCGGACCCCACCCCTACCGCGCATCGATTTAGGGTGATGATTCTATTCGGAGGAAAGGCGAAGCCTTTCGGATAATGGGTGATCTAGAGACGCAGATGTTTTGCTCATCAGGGGCACAAACAGCATTGTCAGTGCCCATTGTGCTGGCATTGGCCCGCAGGCGGCCTTGCCCAGCTTCGTCGGCGCCTACTGTGCCGCTGGGTCAAGGCTCGGGGGGTCACGTCCTCGCGGGGCCGTGTGCTTGCCTTCTCGTGGCAGGGTGCCGTGCAGGGCGCGTTGCGTCGCCAGGCGCCGCACAGGGCGCAACGCTTCGCACTTGCCTGCCGTTTCGTGGCAGGGCGCCACACAGGGCGCAAACCGCGTCACGGAACGCGCGATCGCCCTCCCGCCCCCCCCGCTTCGCGCCAAGACGCGCGCGTAAATGTGGCAAGGGGTTCATATCTGGCTTGCGTTCGGCCGCTCCAGCCTCAGATCCCGCTTCCCGAGGCAACGGCCGGCGCGGAAGTTGCGGAGGGGACTCGCCGGGTCGTCTCCCGGAGGTTCTTTCCCTGGTGGGCTGGGAGTGCATTCGCCCCTTTGATGTTAGGGAAAAAACATCGACCCGTGTCGTGAGATTCGATGGCTGGTGGGGGTGAGGCTCGGATGTCGCCACCAGTGGTGGTGGTGGTGGTGGTGGTGGCGGCGGACATGGTCGTCGTCGTCGTCGTTGTCGTTGGGAGGAGGAGGAGGAGGAGGAGGAGGAGGAGGAGGAGGAGGAGGAGGAGGAGGAGGAGGAGGAGGAGGAGGAGGAGGAGGAGGAGGAGGAGGAAAAAAGGAGGAGGAGGGGGGAGGAGGGAGGGAGGGAGGGAGGGAGGGGAGGGGAGGGGAGGGGAGGGGAGGGAGGGAGGGAGAGTGGACGGGAGGGGAAGGGAGGGGAGGGAAGGGGAGGAGAGGGGAGGGAGGGGAGGGGAGGGAGGGGGGAGAGGGAGGGGGGAGGGAGGGGGGGAGGGAGGAGGGAGGGAGGGAGGGAGGGAGGGAGGGAGGGGGAGGGAGGAGGGAGGGGGAGGGAGGGAGAAAGAGAGAGGGAGGGGGGGAGGGGGGAGGGAGGGAGAGAGGGAGGGGGGGCGGAGGGAGGGAGGAAGGGAGGGAGGAAGGGGGGAGGGGGGGAGGGAGGGAGGGAAGGAGGGGGGAGGGAAGGAGGGAGGGAGGGAGGGAGGGAGGGAGGGAGGAGGAGGAGGAGGAGGAGGAGGAGGAGGAGGAGGAGGCTGCTGGCTGGCAATCTGCATATGGCCTCGATCCCAGTGTCAACAGGTCCGCTTGGCCGCAGGGCGGTCAGGGAGGCTCTATGCACCCCTTCGATGTCAAACGTATCGGGAGCCCCTTCCCCACACTTAGATGGGGACTCCCTAAGTGTGATGCAGGGTCGAGAGGCCTGCACGCACAGATCAGAGCATGAAGATCCTCTCGGATCGCGGAGAGACGCAGCAGGAAGAAGAGAGGGGACGGGCAGCCAGGCACTCACGGCAAGTGAGCCGTGGCATATATCCTTCTTGGCATACGCAATAGAAATGTCATGCGCTCTGCCTGTCTGCACAAGAGAACAAACATTGTGTGTGAGAAGGGAGAGGCAACGCTGCATCATAACTCCACGTCGCTGGAAGGGGCTCCTCAAGAAGAAGGAGGTGCCATCGCGCTGCAGGTAAAAGTTTGGAAGAGGGTGCAATCAGGCGTGTAAAGACGGGGCCCCTGCGGCGCTTGACGCCTGGAGGAGGAGGAGGAGGAGGAGGAGGAGGAGGAGGAGGAGGAGGAAGAGGAGGAGGAGGAGGGGAGGAGGAGGGGAGGAGGAGGAGGAGGAGGAGGAGGAGGAGGAGGAGGAGGAGAGGAGGAGGAGGAGGAGGAGGAGGAGGAGGAGAGGAGGAACGTGGAGGGCCCAGGCGGGCTGCTGCAATCACCAGTGGTGGTCCCAGGCCCAGGGGGGGCCCATGGGGAGGCGCCGCTCCCCCCGCCAGAGCTCTCGCCGATCCTGCTTCCCTGGTGTGACTCACTCTTCCCTCCTCTTCAAGGGGTGGCTGGAAGCCCAATCTACTTCCGACGCCTTCTTGCTTCATGGTTCTCCCCACTTTTTCCGACCGATGGGTGCCATCGGGGGCTTCGAGAGGAAGGTCTCGCAAAGGCTGGCTGGGTGTTTGGCCGAGGACACAAGCGGATGTCTCTGCACGTCGACGTTCCTTATGCAGCCGTGAAGCTTTTGCGCGAGTGACGGCGCAACCGATGCCCCCTCTGCTCTGGTTGCGGCTGCCGCGTGCCCTGCGCGAGTGTGCGTAGCAGCACATGGCCCACATGGCGCGCTCCAGAAAGGGCCTCGCCTTCGGCGAATTTCGGCGAAGGCGGAAGCTTGAGGAAGGCCGGCGGAAGCAAAACGGCGGCCCGCTGGCGGAAGCAGGCGAATTCTCGGCGGAAGGCGGCGGAAGTGAACGTGAAACGTTGGCGCTCTTCGGAGTCAGGGCTTCCGGAGTCAGCCATATCGTACATTGGCGTGCGCATTCAATTCATGATGTGCTGGCGCTGCTGCAGTGAGCGCTCGCCCGCGCGTCTTCCTGAGCTGTCGAGCACGCATCACCTGCGTGCCGGAGAAGTGGCTGTTGCGACGTCTCTTGTCCCTGTTTTGTGGGCTTCCGATCCCGCCCGTGCAGGACGAGCAGTTCTTCCCGCCTGGCACGGAGCTGGCAGTCGACGATCTCGTGGCCCACCCCCAGAGCATTCGGCGTGCGAGGGGCAGTTGTGCGAGCGTAGCGTTCGAGAGTTGCCAGGAACCTGACGTTTGAAGGCGTTGTGCCAGTTCTTCAAAGTCCCGGAAGGAATCGCGGAGAGTTCCGGAACAGGGTTCCAGTGGGGACCCAGAATGTCACGCGGGGTAGTAAGCCCTCGCGGTGTCGCCCAAGGGCATCTTTGAATCTGGGGCCATTTGTATCATCTTTATTGTAGCTTGCAATGCTTGTGGCATCCGGATGGGGATGTTTGTAGCTTGTCTTGACCCTTGCTTGGCCTTCAGTGTCCTGTCTTGTCAATCGGGCTTTCTGGAGGCCATACGAGACGGTATGATACCATCAGTGCAGTGGCGAACTTGGTGGAATGAGTTATGATTCTCGTATGAGAAATCGCTTTGGCATCGGGGGCGACCCTGGGGTGCGCTTTCAGAGTTTGGGGCCTGTCTTTAGGGTCTGTCTGGGGCCTCTGGGGGCGCTTGCAGATCGTTTACTGTCTCAGCCTTCCAGGCATAATCATTTTATGCATCAAGAGCGAGAGATGGAAAGAGACAGAGAGAGGGAGAGAGAGAGAGAGAGAGATACATCCATGATGATAAATACGTAAACAGGCTGGAGGGAGGGAAGGAGAGGGAGAGTGAGGAAGGCAGAGAAGAGAGAAAAGATAGTCTTGGAGAAGGAGTAGAGGGATAACAGATATTGCGAGGGGAGTCGATTGAAAGACCCAGGGCATCACATTTCCATCCATACATACATACATTACATACAGATGTTATGATGTATCTGTATATATATATATATATAGAGAGAGAGAGAGAGAGAGAGAGAGAGACAGAGAGAGAGAGAGAGCGGGAGAGAGAAAGAGAGAGGGAGAGAGAGAGAGAGAGAGAAACACAACTAAAGCAATAGAGAAAGAGAGAAAGAGAGAGAGAGAGAGAAACAGAGTGGAGAGAGTGCGTGCAGCCAAGACTTATCAACAGAGCATGCAAACATTGTAAACTCAGCAAATATACAGTAGAGAAAGCAGGTACAGTTTGGAAAGCGGAAAGGGTATTTACATAACAGAGACGAGTGAACGCAACTATCGGAGGTTCGGGGTGGGAACGGAATGATTCCAACTGGGAAATCAGTTTCTGTTCGTGTCGCAGATGCGCGCTAGGCAAAGCTGCGCACTGGCGACGATCTGCCGGCCAAGCTGGGGCCAAGTCGTACAACACATTTATCCTCCAGTTGCGCATTTCGTTGCCTTGATGGTTCTACGGTCGTTCCGTGGCTGTCCCGTGGTTATCCCGTGGTTGTCCTGTGGTTGTCTCGTGGGTTGTCCCGTGGTTGTCCTGTGGGTTGTCCCGTGGATACTCGCGTTGGTTGCCTTGCGGACAGTCCTGTGGTTGTCGCGTCAGTTGTCCCGTGGGATTTGCAAGTCGAAATGCAAATCCGATGGCCATCGGAGCACATCGGCATGCACATTCTACATGCACATCGAAGTTCAAGTCGAAATGCACATCAAAACGCACACCAGCATGAATGCGGCATGTGCCACGACTTGCAATCGACATGCACATCGAAATGAACATCCGAATGGGAATTTGATTGCAATCGAAGTGTTTCTCGAGATGTACATCGACATGCGCATCGATATGCACGTCGAAATGGAAGTCGAATTGCGATCGGCGCGCAACTCGATATGCGATTCGAGACGCAAGTCGAAGCCGAACCAACACACACATCGACCAGCGAACCGCGACGCACATCGAGATGAGCATCGAGATACAAATCTGCGTTTCAATGGTGTAGGGGTGTTTCAGAAAGGGCCTCGCCTTCGGCGCATGTGGCATTCGGAGGAGATCGGCGGCAAGTCGGCGGAAGTCTGCGGACGTAGACACGGGGGCGGGCCCGCTGGCGGAAGGTTGGCGGGCGGCGGCGGAGGCAAAAGTGAGGTGGCAGCATTTTTGGATTCATGGCTTCCGGAGTCGGCCGCAGTTAGTCCAAACATCATCATCGGCAACATTCAGCGCATGTCTTGTTCACATCGCAGGCCTGTCGCGGGCTATCACAGGGCATGCCAAGCCTGTGGAGTAGATGATACTCGACTGGGTCCTGTGGGCCGACGTCTTTGAGCCATCTGAGGCAGTCTTGGTTGTGTCCCTGTGGCCTTTCGGTCTTATCCTGGGCCGTCTTAGGGTCTCCAGTGACCATGTTGCATCCAGAATATAGGAGAACTGCACACGTTGACCAACGTGATGTGTAGGTGTGCGTCTGTGTGTGTTGGGCCCTGAGGCGCCTCTTGGTGGCTTCTTTTCTGGGGGGAGAGCCCTCCAGGGGCCTGCCGAGAGCCTCTCGAGAAGCGCTTCGGTGTTGCCAGGCCCTCCTCAGCATGCTGTCTGCAAGATTTACGTCTGGTTGCGCCAAACAGACCGACCGGGCGCCATCTCTTCAGTCGGCGGGCACTCTTTGCGACTATTGGACCTGGGTGCGCTCTTGTGGTGAAGGGTTCCTGCTCAAGACCGCGGCGGTCCGCTTTGCGACGTGAGACCCCGCGCTCACGGGCCACCTCCACCGTTGATCGACGCCAGCGCCGCCACTTCGGAGACCCGGCCAGCACATGACCCCCCCAGCTTTGGACTGTGCGCGCGGCAGGCCACGCGCGGAACGACCGAGCCCAGCCCGCTGCGCAAAAGGGTCCAGGGCCTCGGTTCGGCAACTCGGTGAGGGAGGGGAGAAGGCCTTCCATTCCCGTCCTTCTCTGTCCTCGCTCCACCCCTCTCCTTCTGCCCCCCTCTTCTCCTTCCCCCCGCGCCTCCCTGTCTCACCCGCTCTACCCCCCTCCTGTCCATCTGGCTCCTTCTATCCTCCTTCCCCCTCCCTCGCGTATCCTCCTCTCCCCCCCCCCTTGGGGTGCGGCGGATCCTCGACCCCTGCCCGCCCTCCCGACCCCCATCCCCTGCGGGGGGTGGCTGGTTTGGCGGGTATCAGGATCGCCGTCATTCCCTCGACGGCTTCTGGCCCTCGCAGCTGCCCCTGGGCAGCAAGTTGAGATCTCTCCCCTGGAAGCAACGTTTGACAGACAGCTCTCCATCTGGTTGGCCGGGCAGCGCAGGCTGCCGGGATCAGGCCCCCGCTGCCGACGAGTGGTTTGGGGCTTCGTAGGCCACTGCGGAGCCACGCGAGTCAGTCTGAACGAGTCGGGCCATGCTCGATTTCTGGTTCCGCGCTTGCTGCACCCGCAGAGCCCTCCCTCCCTCCCTGCTCCTGCCCTGCCCTCTCCCCCTTTTTCGCCCCCGTGGGCGAAGCAGAACAATGGGTTCGACTGCGCCGACATTCGCGCGTACGCTGCCCGTGCAGGGTCGCGCGTAATCGCCCTCGTTTCCAGTGTAGCGCGCCGCGCTGGAGGCCCGCGTAGGCCGCGGCGTGAGGTCACCGTGCCATCTCGCGTGCGACCCGTCGTCTCTGCCGTGGTCGTCTCTGTCGTGGCCTCCGTGCCAAGGTGGCCCACGTCCTGGAGCACGCGCCGGCGAGCGGCGGTGGCCCCGAGAGCTGCGGCAGGAGGACGCGTGGCCACGGCCCGCGCCGATCCCCGCCGCCGCGACGCACGGAGGCGGCCGGCAGCACTGAGCAGTGCGCGGCACCGGGCCGCAGCAGGCCACACCGAGCAGCATCAGGCATCTGCGAAGGGGGGGGCACTTCTCCTTCGCGCCAAGAGCGGTGCAGTGTTGTTGTAGTTCGGATGTAGCTCTCCACTTGAGTCGGCGAGTGTTCGCGCCCAGCAAATGACTGGATGTGTGTGGCTCTTTGTATTGTTTCGCTTCTCTCCCTCATTGTCGCGGTGTGAGGCCTAAGTGTAACGGTGGTCGGTCGGACCCTGGGGCTTGCTCACGCAAGAAAATAAAAGCAGCCGCGAAGGGGACATCAGTCAACAAGATCAGCAGCAAGAGGCTCAGGCGGCAGCGCTTGCTTTGGAAACCCCTATGTAGCCAAACGTTCGGCCGATGTCTTGCCAAGCTATTGGACTACGTGCTCACGCAGCCGTTGTGGAAGCCCTTGGAGGAACACTTGTGGGGGAAAAGGGAGGACAAGGAGTAGAGGGCGGAGGAGGAGGAGGAGGAGGAGGAGGAGGAGGAGGAGGAGGAGGAAACGGTGGCCTTCCTGGGGGCCTCCTGTGAGCCTCTTGGGGGCTTCTGATTACCTTAGGGGGTTTCTCGGGGATTTCTAGGGGGCCTCTTATGGGCTTCATGCGGGCCTCTGGTGGCGGATGCAGTTTGGGGGCCGTCTCTGGGTCTCTGGGCAGTCGTGGGTCATGGGTCCTTCTTCGGGGCGCTTCAGGGTCGTCTTGGAGGTCTGTCGGGTCGTCTTGGGGCCGTCTTGGGGGCTTCTCGGGCCGTCTTGGGGCCCTCTTGGGCCGTCTTGCGGGCCTCTTGGGAGCCTCTTGGGCCGTCTTGGCGCGATCTTGGCGGCTTATGTGGCCGTCTTGGAGCGTCGGAAGCCCGAAAAGGCGAGAACACCATAATCATTGAAACATTGCAGGCACCTCAATGAATCTAGGCGGTTGGAGGTCCTCTGGGGGCCCCATTAGGGCTTCTTGGGGCCTCGGGGGCCGTCTTGATGGTATTTTTGGCCGTCTTGGAGTTATCTTGGGCTGCGTTGGAGGCCATCTCGGCTGTCTTGGGACCATCCTGGCTGTCTGTGAGGCGTCTTGGGACCATCTTTGAGGCCATCTTGGAGGCACCTCCAGTCTTGGGCGAACGCATGCTTGCATCCTGGCCGGCTGGTCAAGACGAAGCCCACCGGGAATTGCTTAATTTGACTATGTGTGAAGCAGTAGAGAGTTTAACACGCCGTGCGCCTCTGGGGCGGCGGTTCGAAGACGCCTACGGCGAATCACCGCCGCCCCCTGTCTTTTGGAACCGTCCACGCGGCCAAACGTTTTGCCAAAGTCTGGCCACTCTTTTGTACGATGTGTTCCCCCCAGCCAGTATGGACCCCCTTTGGGGAATCCATGTCAGAGAAGGAGACAGGAACATGAGAGGTAGGAGGAGGAGGAGGAGGAGGACGTGGAGGATGGGTTGGAGGAGGAGGAGGAGGGGGAGGAGGAGGAGGAGGAGGAGGAGGAGGAGGAGGAGGAGGAGGATGAGGAACAGGAGGCCTTTTGCGGCTAGGGCCTCTTCGGGGCTTCTAAGGCCTTTCGGGGGCTTCTTGGGGGCCTCTTGTTTGCCTCTTGGGTGCCTCTTGGGGGCTTCTGGGGGTCTCTGAGGGACCTCTTGGCCTTCTGATTCCGCCTTGGGGCCATCTCTGGGCAGTCGTGGGTCCCTCTTTGGGCGCTTCAGGGCCGTCTTGGTAGCCTCTTGAGCCGTCTTGGGGCCCTCTTTGGTCGTCATGCGGGTCTATTGCGGACATCTCGGGCCGTCTTGGAGCAATCTTGGGGGCTTGCCGGGTCGTCTTGCAGCGGTGGAGGCCTGACAGGGTGAGCGCGCTAACATCATGTAACAGCCTAAGGGTGATCAGTGGTTCTGGCCTCGTCGAGATCCTCTTGGAGGCCTTCTGGCATGTCTTGGAGGCATCTTGGGCCATATTGGGCGCATCTTCAGCCGTCTTGGAGGCATCTTGCGGCCATCTGGCGCTCTCTTGGGGCCATCTTAGACGTCCTGGAGGCATCTTTGAGGCCACCTTCAGTCATCTCGGCCGCCTGGGAGCGGACTGGCCGATGACCTGGGAACTCCAAAAAGCTGTCCAGGGTGCTGGCGGATCGGCCGAGGCCTGACTGGGAACTTTACACAATAATTTCAGGCAAACCTGGAATCCAGCACGCCGTGCACCCCTGTGGCAAGCAACAGGGGGCGGCGGATCGAAGACGTCGACGGCGAATCACCGCCGCCCCTTGCCTTTGGAACCGCCCATGCGGCCAAGCGTTGGTTCAACGTCTGGCCAATGTATTGGGCTATGTGCTTCCCCAGCCTTTTTGGAACCCCTCAGGAGAACACTTGGGAGAGGAAGAGAAAGGAGGAGGAGGAGGAGGAGGAGGAGGAGGAGGAGGAGGAGGAGGAGGAGGAGGAGGAGGGAGGAGGAGGGAGGGGGAGGAGGAGGAGGAGGAGAGAGGAGGAGGAGGAGGAGGAGGAGAGAGGAGGAAGGGAAGAGAAGCAGGAGGAGGAGGAGGAGGAGGAGGAGGAGGAGGAGGAGGAGGAGGAGGAGGCCGTTTTGGGGCCGTCTCTGGGCAGTCGTGGGTCCCTCTTCGGGCGCTTTGTGGCCCTCTTGGAGGTCTACAGGCCGTCTTGGGGGCCCCGCGGGCCGCCTTGCGGGCATCTGAAACCGCTCGGGGGCCTCCTTGGGCCGTCTTGGGGCGATCCTGGGGGCCTAACGGGCCATTCTGGAGCGTCGGAGGCACGACACGGCGAGAACGCTAACATCGGTGGCACACCTTAGGAACACACATGACTCTGGGCTCCTGGGTGTCCTCTCGGAGCCCTCTCTTGGCGTCTTGATGGCCTCTTGGGCCGTCTTGGTGGCATCCTCGGGCCATCTCAGCCTCTCTTGGTGCCATATTGGCCCTCTCGGCGGCGTCCTTGGACCGTCTCGGTGGCCATCTGAGCCGTCTTGGAGACCATCTTGGGCCATCTTGGGCGTCTTGGGGCCATCTTCGGGCCGTCTTAACCGAGAACGCCGGCGGGAGGCACCTGTTTCGCGCGGCGGGCGAATCAGGCCTTGACCCACTTGGTAACACCTTGGCACTGAACAATTTGGCACGCCAGACACCCCTTTGATAGATATATCAACATTGGGCGGTGGATCGAAGACGCCTGCGGCGAATAACAGCCGCCCCCTGCCTTTTGGAAGCGCCTGTATGGCCGAACGTTGCGGCCAGAGCCTGGCCAAGCTATCAGACCGTGTGTTCCCCCAGCCGTTGTGACAATCCTGCAAGGAATGCGTGGGGGGGCAAGGCAGAAGAGGAGAGGGAGAAAACAGGAGAAGGAGGAGGAGGAGGAGGAGGAGGAGGAGAAGGAGGATGATGAGGAGGAGGCCTCTTGGGCGCCTCTTGGGACACTGTTGGGGCCTCCTGGGAGCTTCCTGGGTGTCTCTTGGAGGCCTCTCGGGGGCTTCCTTGGGCCTCTTGGGGGGCCTTTGGAGGCTTATTGGGAGGCTCGTTGGCAGTCTGAGGGCGTTCTTGGCCCGTCCGACTCCTTCGCAAGCCGTCTTGGGGGCATCTGCGAGCCGACGTGGGGCCGTCTTGAGGCGCTTTAGGGCCGTCTTGGAGGCCATCTTGGGCCTCTTGGAGGTCTTTTGGGTCGTCTTGGGTCCCTCTTAGGCCGTCCTGGGGACCTCTTTGGCCGTCAATGGGGCCATCTCGGAGGCCTCTTGGGCGCTCTTGGGGCAACCTTGGCGGCCCCTGGGGCCGCCTTGGGCCGTCGGACAGCCGAAACTGAGCAAACGCCCGAACTGTTCAACAATCAAAGGAAGATCAATACGTTGGGCATCTTCGGGCCTTCCTGGAGGTCCTGTTGGAGGCTTATCGGGCTTATCGGGCCGTCTAAGTCGATCTATGGGCCATCTTGGGCCATCTTGGGGGCATCTTGGGGGCGACAAGGCCCGTCTTGGTCGCATCTTCTCCTGAGGCCACAGCTCATGCAGACACGGCGCCTAGGCGAGTTGCTCTGATCAGGGATGTTGAGGAGCATGCAGTGAAATAAAGGGCTGGGGAAGCTGTCACACTCCAAGATGGGGGGAGGATGGCGGAGGATGGTGGAGGAATCTGGGGAGGACGAGGAAGAGGAGGAGGAGGCGGAGGAGGAGGAGGAGGATGAGGAGGAGGAGGAGGAGGGATAGGAGACGGAGGAGGGGGAGGGGGAGGAATAGCAGGGAGGAGGAAGGGGGATGAACTGGCTGATGAGGAAGAGCAGGAGGAGGGCGAGCAGAAATGACAGACGCCTCCTGGATGCCTCTCGGCGTTTTTTCGGATGTCCCTTGGGAGCTTCTTGGAGTCCTCTTGGGGCGTCTTGCGGGCCTCTTGACGGTCACGGAGGCCTCTTGGAGTGTCGTGGTTGTTTCGTGGGAGCCTCTTGGGGCCTGTTGGGGGACCCTTAGGGGACCTCTTGGGACCTCCTGGGCGCCTCTTGGGGCCCTTACCCTTGGAGTCCTCGCCCCTCTGGGCCATCTGACCTCGCCTCTTGAACCTGTCGTGGAGCGGTCTTGGGGCCCTTTGGCGCTCATCTCGGGGCTCTCTTGGGCATCTCTCGGGACTCTCTCGGGCCATCTTGGAGTCATCTTGAGGCCTCGGAGGGCCATCAGAAGCGAAGACGTGAACGGCAACCCTCATTGATCTCCCCTGGGTTGTTGAAGGATTGTGGCCTCTTGGAGGCCGCCTTGGGAGGCTCCGTGGCCCCTTGGAGCCGTCTTGGAGCGGTTGTGGGACCTCTTGGAGTATGTTGGGTGCCATTTGCTATCTGAGGCCATCTTGGAGGTCATCGAGGGTTTCCTGAGCCATCTTGGAGCCTCTTGGGGCATCTTGAAGGTGCCTTGGGGGCCTTTTGGGGAGCCTCTTTGGGGCCTTTGGGGGACCTCTTTGGGGCCTACTGGCGGTCTCGGGAGCCATCCCTCTTCGGCCCTTCTTGGGAACCTCCTGGGCCCTTCTTCTTGAGGTCCTCTTTCGCGCATCCTGGGCCGTCTTGGGCCCTCTTGGGCTACCTTGAGGCCCGAGCGATCTTCGGGGCCTCTCCTGCCGTCTTGGAACGTTGGAAGCTCGAAAAGGCGGGAACGCTAAACTGACTCAACGGCTTCTAGGACGAATCAAACGTTTTGGCTTCGTGGGGCCCTGTTGGGGCATCTCTGGGGCTTCCTGGGCCGCCTGACATGCATCTTGGGCGTCTTGGGATGCTCTTGGGCCCAGTGGGGGCCCTCTTGTTTTGGAGGCATTTGGGGGCCCTCTTGGCCAGTGTTGGCTCTCTCTCTCTCTCTCTCTGGTTTCTGTGCAGATCATGCGAGCGGCCCCAGAAGTCAAGCGATAAGCCCCCAAACTCGTGGAGTGTTACAGTCCCCAATGCAGAGAACTAGGTAACGCTACGGAGCCTGAGGACATTCCATTCAGTGTCTACGGCAGAGAAGTACAGCCACCGGTAAGTGCAGCGACACGGGCACGGGAGAGGTAGATGGTATGCCTAAGGGCGATGGTAAAAGCAATCACCAAGCGCACGTGTGCGAAGGCGGCACGCATTAGGGGCCCGCTTTGGGGAGCAGCCTGGCGGCCTGGCCCACCCGGTCTGGAGTCTTCCTAACATCGGAGTTCGTCACCCACTGTCCCACGAACCAGCCTCGTAGCAAATTGCACGGACTCTGCAAGCACGCCAGCGCCGATGACAGCGGAATAGACATTATGCTCCTCCGTTCCTCGCACTTCCCATGATGGAAATTCGCTTGGCGCCGCGTGCCCAAGTCTTGCACGCAAGCCGTCTTCTAGGAACTGAGGCACCCTCTGTGTTTCCAGGAAGCTGGATACGAATGGCGTGGCTGGCCTGGACGAAAGCTGGATACACATGCGACCGCATGTCACTCTTTCGGTCTCGCTGTTTTCTTTGCTCTGCTGCTCTCCTGCTGTTGTTGCTGCTCCTTCTTCGGCGTTGCAGTCGTGCGGCATTCGCTTCAGTTATGTTGTGTTGTGGTTTCGCCTCTTTGGCAATGCGTCGTGACTTCAGCCACTTCTCCTTGATTCTCGGAGTTGGCCTGGGTCAGCTGATGATGCGACTGGGTGGATTGTGTCATATTGGGCAAGCAGTTGTTTCGTGGTGACTCACGGGGCTTCGTACGCGATGTTTGGGCCTCGTAGTTATCCTCGCCTTCCTCTTCCCCTCCTTCCCCTCCTACTCTTCCTTCTCCTTCTCCCTTCGTGGCTGCTCAGCTTCAAATCGATTGTTGTGCCTCCGAGTTTGCAGTTCGTCTCTGGAGACGTCGCATTTCAAGTTTGCATTCTCGCGAGTGCTTCCGTGGAGTTGCCCGCACGCCCAGTTGTGACTTTGACTTGAGTTGTTGCGATTTTCTGGCCTGCGGCCAGCGCAGGGGGGGTGATAATTCGTTACTTTTCACGCGCTCGTTCTCTCTCAGGTCGCGGTTCACCTCATGAGTTTGCCCATCGCAGGTCGGCTCTTGAGTTGCACCTGGTTTGCCTGGCGACTCTTTGAATCGCATGGCAGCTGAGGATGCGGAGTGTGGATTTCATGTTAAGCATATGCGACCGCATGTATTTCTGGCGGTCGGCCCACGCGTGGCCAGGTACGCCAGCCCGCCATATGTCACATGCGTATGCAGCGCGCAGCCTCCACGTGTTCCAGATGTGAATCCAGTCACGTTTGCTTCTATTTTCCGGGTAGTGTATGCGTGGGGCATGCTGTTACTTCGTGCACTATCTGGTGGGCACTGGATCGTGCTCTCGAGAGATTCGCACGGGTTGCCGAGGCCACTATAAGCCGCAGCTCGTCGATCTGCGTAGTGCTCCCGAAAAGATCCAGCAGCGCTCCAAGTGATTTGGCCCCGTTAGCCCTGCATCAGCGCTAGGTCTGAGCCGTGCTGCTGTTGGCATTGCCTTGCTGCACCGGGCGCTGCCCGTCCACGTACGCCGGCAGCTAGCGCCGCTCATCCACCGGCGCCGGAGACCCTAGCGTGAACGCTGCAGGGTGGTGGCAGCGTCGCGTCAACAGCTGCAGCCGGAGCCCAGGACCCCAGCAGAGGTACTGCGGGGTGGGGGGGCAGCTCCGAGGCTCGAGCCTCAGTCGGAGCCCGGGGCACCAGGGACGTCATCATTGACCAGCACAGCCCCGTCAGCACCCAGAGCCCATGCGCAGCCTGCTCAAAGCCCCTGGTGTCCAGGCAGTGCTGCTCTGCGCCGCGGGCAGCGTGAGCACATGGCCTGCGCCTGCCTCCCCCCCCTGGGGAGCAGGAGCCGTCCCCGAAGCCCGCGCCTGGCGTGGCGGGAGCGCGCGCCCTGGCCGTGGTCGCCTCGAGGCCCGCACTCGGCTTGTGCATCCATGGAGCCCGCTCTGCGCATCCTCCCAGTCTGACCTCGCGCGCGCCAGATTATCAACCGCCCCCTGGGATCCCTCTGACCCGAATACACCCATAGGAGTTCTCAAGAAGTATCAGCTCCTAGAGCAGAGTCGTCCGAGTTTTCTTCCCCATAGGGCAGAACTAGACCACTAGTTCAGAAAGCGAGACTTGCAGAGCTTGCTTTCTCGGGATGAAGTTTTCTGAATGATGATGTCCGGTGTGGCTCTCCGGACGGTCGGGACCCTTTCCGAACCGCTGAGAAAACGGATCCAGACGCGGTCGCCGTTTTGGCACTCGAGCTGAGAGCTCTGTCCCGTTGGGGCGTGCCTTTCAGCGGGCGTCCCCCATGCGTCCCTCGCCGGAGCGCCCGCAGGACGGCATATGCGAAGAAGCAGGCCCAGAGGAGCGCCCTGAGGAGGCTTGGGGGAGGGGGGGGGAAGCCAGGCCTGCCTCGCACACGGAGGATGGAAGAGAGGCGCGCGGCAGCATGGTGGCAAAGGGGATGGGGGATGCAGGGTGCGCCTAAATCCTGCGAGAGGGTGATGGGCCTACCGCGTGCAGGTAAACACCGCGCGCTGCAGGCGCCTGCGGGGCTATGCGCAGCAGACAGAATCCCTGCCGCGTGGTGGCTGAGGCGCGAAGCGTGAACTGTTCTATGTAATGTGTATGTGCTATGCGTGCATGCCTGTATGTATGCATGTCAGAGTGAGGGTTGTCTGTATGTTTGTTTGTTTGTTTGCTTGGTTGGTTGGTTGGTTGGTTGGTTGGTTGGTTGGTTGGTTGGCTGGTTGTTCGTTCATTCGTTCGTTCGTTTGTTTGTTTGTGTGTTTGTTGGCCGTTTTTTTTCTTCTGTGTTTGGTTGGTCGTGTATACACAGATACGCATCTATCAGAGCGAGTGGTGGCCGAACGGTTAGATTTTACTCCTGCGCGCGCGTGGCCTGAAGGAGCCTCGACCGGGGGCGGGCGCGCTGGGCGGGCACGCTAGGCGAGCACGCTAGGCGGGCACGCTAGGCGGGCACGCTAGGTGGGCACGCTGGGCGGGCAGGCTGGGCGGGCACGCTGGACGGGCACGCTTGTCGGGCGCTCGCTAACCAGGCGCGCTAATTGGGGCTTGTCGCGGTCCTCCTGGGCCCCATCGAGTCATGTCGCGTGCACTTTTCGGGCCCCTCGGCCCCAAGAGGCCCCAAAGACAGTCCAAGATGGCCTCCAGACGGCCCAAGATGCCTCCAAGATGCCCCAAGAGAGACCTTGAAGAGCATTCCCAAGATTGCCCTGGGAGGCAAAATCCTTTGATTTTCCGTTGTCTTTTGAAGGATTTGGGTGTTCTCGCCTTTTCGGCTTCCCGACGCTCCTAGACGACCGAAAGGGCCTCCAAGAGCAACCCAAGATAGCCTAAGAGGCCCCAAGAGGGCTCCGAGACTGCCCAAGAGGGTCCCAAGACGGCCGAGGGTGGAGGTGCTTGGCCGCGCATCCCCCCTTGTCCACGCATGGAATTGACACCGGGAGGGGGGGATAACCCCGCCGGGAGGACCCGACTTGATTCGCGTGTTCCCTCTGTCCACAGGGGAAACCGGCGCAAAAATCTGGGTCGCGGCCGACCCCCGCCGGTGAGGGGTTAGGGGAGGGACAAACATCTTACACGCCTGCAAGACCCAAGGGGTCGGCGGATTACCATCTCTGCCATACACCTTTGTAAGTTGCACGATGCTCGCGCCCCCGAGGCCACAAACCTTTTTGTAGATTACCCCATCGTCACGCCCCCGAGGCCGTCAACTTGTGCAAATTTCGCAAATTTCGCGCCCCCGAAGCCATAAACCTTTGTAAATTGCACGGTGTTCGCGTCCCCGAGGCCATACCCCACCGTAAAGTACGCACTATTCGCGTCCCCGAGGCCATAATCCTTTTTGTAGATTACAAATGATTCGCGCACCCGAGGCCATAATCCCGCGTACATTATGCAATCTTCGCGTCCCCGAAGCCATAAACCTCTGTACATTGCACCGTATTCGCGTCCCCGGAGCCACAAGCCTTTGTACACTTCGCAATATTCGCGTCTCCGAAGCCGTAAATTTTTTAATTTACACAATATTCGCCCCAGATTCGCCAAGGCAGCGCCGAGACGCACCGACGTGACTCTGATATATCCCATTCTGATAGAGAGGGGGCCGGCGGCAGGGGGCGAAGCCCTTACGGATAAGAGTAAAAAGGGGAGGGGGAGGGGGAGGGGGAGGGGGAGGAGGAGGAGGAGGAGGAGGAGGAGGAGGAGGAGGAGGAGGAGGAGGAGGAAAAGGAAGAGGAGGAGGAGGAGGAGGAGGAGGACCAGTGGAAACCCAAGAGTCATTAATGATGTTGGGATCAACCCTCCCTTCAAGCTCCCTCTTCATAGGCCCCCACAACGGTTCATTTCCATTGAGAGAACTGCCCCGTTGAAAGACAACTGTTTGAAGACCCTGAAACATGTCAAAACATTGTTCTCGGGATTCCCACGCCACGGATCAACCTGACTGTTGCGTTTTGACGATCTTGAACCGTACCAGAACACCATTCCTGGACTTCAACGCCCCGAGTCAGCGAAATTGTTGCGCCCTCATAGTCCTGAGTCTTTCCAACAGCATATCTGGTTCGTTGGTCATGGGAATCCGTGAAACCTTTTCAATTTTTGATAAGCGACTGTGCGCGGCGCGAGGGCTAGAGCCACATGTTGAAAATGACCCGCCCTCAATCCGTAAAACTCTTCAAATGTTTAAACGAATGAGCGCGGCGCGCGAGAGCCACACTTTGAAAACGGCTCGCTCTCCATCTGTGAAGCTCTTTCAAATGTTAAAGACGCCATGTGTGAAACTGTTGTCATTGTTGCACGCTTCAGGGTCATAAATGGTGAGGAAGTCTCAGGCGAAACGCCCAGCCCGCCCTCAAGCATTGCCTCGGGGTGCGACAGGGAAAAGTTACTCATTTGGAAAAGGGATGGAGGAGGAGGACGAGGAGGAGGAGGAGGAGGAGGAGGAGGAGGAGGAGGAAGGGAGGAGGAGGAGGAGCAGGAGGAGGAGGAGGAGGAGGACCAGTAGAAACCCAAGCGTGATCAACGATGTTGGGATCAACCCTCCCTCCAAGCTCCCTCTTCATAGGCCCCTACAATGGTTCATTTCCATTGAGGGAACTGCCCCGTTGGAAGACAACCGCTTGAAGACCCTGAAGCATGTCAAAACATTGTTCTCGGGATTCCCACGCCACGGATCAACCTGATTGCTGCGTTTTGACGATCGTGAATCGTGCCAGAGCACCATTCCTGGACTTCAACACCGCGAATCAGCGAAACTGCTGCGCCCTCGTAGTCCTGAGACCTTCCAACAGCATATATGGTTCGTTGGTCATGGGAACCCGTGAAACTCTTCCAATGTTTAATAAACGACTGTGCGCGGCGCGAGGACTAGAGCCACATGTTGAAGACGACCCAATTGTCAAAAAGCGAATGTGCGCAGCGCGAGGGCCAGAGCCACATGTTGAAAACGACCCGTAGAGGCGTGCCAACGTTCTTCCTGCCGCTGCGCCGCCCCGCCCGGAGGGCTGGGCCTGCCTGCGCGGCGCGCCCTTCCGCTCTCCGGACATCCCGTGTGTTTCCCCCCCCCCCCCCGTCGGTGCGGGTTCCCTGAAGGGCCCGCCCGACCCGCTCCTCCGGGCATCTGTTTCCCGCCAGCGCCCTCCCAATTAGGGCTACTCGCGCCCCGTTTAGCTCTTGACCGGAAGGGGCCCGCTCCCGACCCGCAGACCAACAAAAAGTTTCCCGCCAGCACTGCCGGCACTCGGTGATTCGGCCGAGGTTTCGCCCTGGTGCCCGCCCGTGGGCGCCCCGCGGGCGCCTCGTGGGTGCCTCGTGCGCCGGGTGGGTCGGCCGTGGTGCCTGCCCGTGGGCGCCTCGTGCCCTGGTCGGCCGCACAGCTTGCACCATCTACGTAGCTGGCGCCACGTAGCGTGCACCAAATAGCTTATACCATACGGTTTGCACCAGATAGCTTGCACCGCATATAGCCTGCACCGCATAGCTTGCACCTGCGCGTTGGAGTTTCCACCACACAGCGTGCACCACCTAGCTTGCACCACCTAGCTTGCACCCTGCATATTGCACCACATAGCTTAAACCACATAGCTTGCACTGCATAGCTTGCACATCCACAGTGCTAGATATAATTATCCGGGGTCCACGCTGGCAAACATTTGTTGTTTCAATCCCGAGCCGATTTTTGACGGCCTCAGAGCCCGAAGCCGTCCCCCCAGAGGCTGAACGCAGCGAACCAATACCCTCCGCCTCGTCTTTCGTCCAAGGCGCTGGGTGTCCCAGCTGCTCGCTCCCACCGCCTAGGGCGCCTAGGCCTCCTGAGGGGCAGGGTTAGGGCGCGACGGGCAGCGATAGGGCAAGGCCAGGCGCCTGGGAGCAGGGGCAACGTTCCCGGAGGTTTTCGGAGATTTTCGTTGGTCCTCGGCGGCTTACGTCCTCGTGGTGGCCTCCGTCAGCTGCGCCTCGCCGCGAGCGTTCCCGGGGTGCCCGGATCGTCCCAGACGGCCGCAGGAGAGCCAAGTCATGGCCCGAAAACCAAAGGGCGACGTTCGGGGGGAACGGGCTCACAGGTGGACGTATCGACCCCCAATCGCCCATTGATCGCCGACAGGGGCCAGATAGCCCACCCCGCCCAGGACCGTGCGGATTGGCTGTCGGGGCCTCTCACCGATCTCTTGGCGATGTGTCGCCGATTCAAGCTCGACGCTTTCTCCCCCTTGAGCTGGTCCCCGCCTGAAGTTGCCCGCCCGGTGGGCGCCGGCGGCGCGCAAGCGAGCGGGCGAGCGGGCGGGCGGAGGCGCGGGCTGGCGGGCGTGCGGGCGGTGTTTGGTGGTGGTGGTTGACGACGACGGCGACGATGAAGATGACGACGACGATGACGACGACGACGATGAAGACGACGACGGCGACCACGACGACGACGACGGCAGGCGACGGCGACGGCGACGGCGACGGCGGCGGTTGCGGTGGCGACGAAAACGACAACGGCGACGGATACGGCGACGCCGACGGCGACGGCGACGGCGGCGGCGACGGCGACGATGACGATGACGATGACGTCGACGTCGACGACGACGACGACGACGACGAAGACGACGACGACGACGACGGCGGCGGCGGCGGCGGTGGCGGCGGCGGCGGCGGCGGCGGCGGCGACAGCGGCCGCGGCGGCGGCGACGGCGCGACGGCGACGGCGACGGCGACGTCGACGGCGACGGCGACGGCGAGGGCGACGGCAACGGCGACGGCGACGGCGACGGCGACGGCGATGGCAACTGCGACGGCGACGACGACGACGACGTCGCCGTCGTTCTCCGCGGGAGGTGCCTGCTGGAGTCCGAGGCAGCGGCGCCAGGATCCACATGCCGCCTCGCGCGCGGAGCTTAGCGGGCGGGGGGGGGGAGTCCGCGGCTGCCCGGCGGACTGGTCGCAGCTCACCCTGAGATTCGACGTCTCGAAAAACCTACAGCATCGCGAGGAATCGTGATCGTGCGGTGCCTCCACCATCCGCGCCTTCCGCGCGGCAGGTGCCGCCGCGTTGGCCACCGCGGGCGCCGCTGCAGCCTCGGCGCTGGCCGCGGCTGCGGCCCGCGCGGAAGGCGCGGAAGGTGGAGAGTGGGGGCTCTCGAGCGGGATTGATTCGCGAAGGCCCCGGGGCGCCGAGAAGTGCAACGCTGGGATCTCAGGGCCCTTGCCGCACCCGTCGGTCTGGACTCCCCCGTGCCTCCTCGCGTCGAGAACAACAGCACTCGCGACGGGTGGCCTTTCCTTCTGTTCGGCCTCCAGGGGCCTTCGCCGGGCCCGGGGGCAGTAACTAGAACGGCTCGGGGAGGTGTTTCCCGGGGTCTGGACGTCGGAGGTCTGGGCCCTTGGGGGCTTTGGTTTTCCACACGCATCCAGGCGAGCCCGATCCCACGGGGCTGCCTGGTGGGTCAGGTCCAGCCTGTCCGGCAGAGACTCACAGCAAGGCGATCTGCGCCTGGCCTGCTCGCCGCTTCCCCTCCTCCGATCCTCCTCGGCGTCGGCGCCGGCGTCTGCGCCTCCGATCCAG